AAGTATTGAAAACCTAAAGTAGACTTAACGCGGCTAGGTCCCCAAATGTCAGAGTGAACCACGACAAAAGGGGACGAAGCACCACGTGTGACACTATGAGGAAAGGAAGTACGACTATGCTTGCCTAATTGACACGAATCACATGCCAAACTAGACAATTTAGATAAGGCAGGGACAAGTTGTTGTAACTTGGCAAGACTTGGATGACCTAACTGAGCATGGAGAAGAGAGGGAGACTCTATAACTGCACCAACATGTGTAAAGGGACGAAGATGATAAAGACCATGAGACTCACATCCTGTGCCAATCAACAGAAGCAGGTGTGTCAGGGTTGAGTTTTGCTGGTATACGCAAAAGAGTGGAGCAGGTCGATGTCAAGGTGGGGACAACCGGAGAACCCAAAATCTGATCACGAATATGTGAATATTGACCAGCAAGTCCGTGTAATGCCCCTAGCATGAAGAACTTTGATCGTTGTTCTATCTCGGTGGCAGAGTCGGGGGAAGGAGGCAATAACTCATTGAACTCATGAAAAAGAGCATGAATTTTGCCCATATAATCAGTCATAAAATCTTGATGTTTAGAGGCAATAACATCTACAAATTTAGAACAGACATCATAGAGACGTTGAGTATCATTGGTGTATAATAACTTGGCATGTTCCCAGATTTTGGCACATGTTTCGTAGGAACGAAAAATTTGTTTTAACGAAGGATCAAGAGTACCCTTGAGAACCACGCATAATTGAGCATCAATGGTGTCCCAACGGTCTTCCTCACCAGGAGTGAGAGTAGGTGCTTTCGGGGCAAGATGATCAAGATACTTCGACTCTTAAGCCATAATCCGACGTCCGATGACCATGTGGCATAATTAGGGCCGGTTAACTTGTCAATGGATAAGTGCACATTAACATAGTTAGTGTAGATGGAAGGATCAGACGCAGATCTGACGAGATTGGAAGTACTAAAAGGAGCGGAAGAACTCATAAAGGGCAGAGGCGATAGTGACAGCGGCGTGAACCGAGTACACCGGGTAAGTTCCCGGGAAAGAAAGGTGGGTCACTAATGGACACGCTTAAATACCAAGTCTTTCCTTGTCGAACTTTCCTAGACATGCACTTTCACACTACCAAATAACCGACGGCGATAGCGGCGGTGGTGACGGCTTCAATAGTGGTCAAAGGCGAAAAAAATTCAAAATAACCTTAAGCTCTAGATATCATGTTGAATATAGAAGAAATAGAGTTTGGGATTAATCTCCCTTGTGTATAAATCACACATAGGGTAGTTTATTTATAGTAGAGAGATACAACTAAAAGAGTAATCGAAAGTAACGGAATAAACAGAAGATATTGTTAGATATTATTGTTTGATATTATGGTTAATATCTAACAATATCTTAACAATATTAAATAATATCTAAACAATATCTAACAAATTGAAAATAAAAATACAATCATTTTATTTATAAAAGTCAATTTTTTGCTTTTTATAAGTTACTATGATTATTTTTTTCTAACATATTTATTTCAAGGTGATAAGTTTCATACCAATTTAATAACATATTTTTCTTTTTTGTTCGAAAATAAAAGAATACAAGTGAAACCAAACCAAACTACATTTTGATCAATCTAACACACGGTAAGTTCAACATATTCCACAGAAATTATAATTAAGAAACCCAGAGTATTTTCTTCAATTTTAATTGAGGTAGAAAAAATATGCATTTTCACCAAAATTAATTGTGTAAAATAACTTTCCCAAAATTAATTTATTTTTAATATATACATTTAGAAAGTAATTAAAATATGATTTTATTATATACTGTATATAAAAGTTACTTAAAAATAATCCGTGGATAGCATGCTAAATTTACCATTATATAAATATGTTAAAATAATTTCTTGTCTTTATCTATTTTTAACAAGGAAAAACATTTATGCCTGCACTTGAAAAATAAAAAAAACTATGCCTAAATTGACTTGAAAATGGATAACAGGTGCACTTTAAATTTAATAAATAATAAATAATAAATAAATTGATTTAACAAAATCTTCTTCTATTTCAACACAAATCGTAGTTAATAGACCTTATTATTTAGTTAGTGAACTTAGTTAAGATTTATCCGAATTTGTCCTTTAATGCATTTTATCTTAAGACGATGGTACTGTAAATAATTGAAATCATCTGTGTATGATATTAAAGGTAGTAAATCTCAATAAATTATAAGGATCAAATAACGCGTAGTGGCAGCATTAATAAGAAAATTAATATATATATATATATATATATATATATATATATATATATATATATATATATATATATATATATATATATATATATATATTGCTATTAAAAATCATACTATATTTTCATTAAAAAATAATTGTTTATTTTTAACATGATAGATATAAGACCTAAGTCAGACAATTTACACCAGACAAAAAAAAAGATAATTAATAATAATTTTAACAAAATTAAGAATACACGTATAATATATATACAGACGTTCGCAAGATATTAATCTTAAGTAATTATTTGGTTTTAAATACTCCTCTCTACTAGTTTAAAATTAGTTATTTAAGCCATTTATAAAACTTCTAAATAGGTGCATTTTTGGAAAATTTAATATTTTAGTCTCCAACTTTAAAATTAAATTAACCCCTCAAACTTCTTTTACTTAATTTTATTTTTTTTAACTTATGCTTTTAATATCGTTTTGTTTTATCTACTCCTAGTTTTTCAATAGTTCCGTAGAAATTAGGTTTGATATTTGATTGTTTCTCAATATTTATGGCATTGTATTGAGTAAATTACACTTATTTATAATTTCATAATATTTAAGAGCGTGTAGATTGGGTATGAATTAGTCAAATTTATCCGTCAATCCAATAAAAATACATGTATAAAATTGAATTGAGTTTTTTATTTATTTATTTATCTAATTTTCAACCCAATTTATCTTTGACGAGGTAGAATTAGATTTGATTATATTTTTTAAAGAGTTTTTTTATTAAAAAAATTAGTTTTAGATATTTTTAAAAAATATGAAACAAACAAGCTATATTATTTAATTATTTTTATCATATGAATTGAATGGAATCTTAGATGAAATATATAAAACCCAATTAGATTGCATTGATATAAACTTCATATAATTACAAAACTCTATCATATTAGGATGCAGCCGTTTTAGCCCATCCCATATAAGGCGGGTGAGGTGAGGTGAGGTGAGGCATGTTATAATTAACATTATATATATATATATATATATATATATATATATATATATATATATATATATATATATATATATATATATATTATAAATAATTTTAAATTTTTATTTATTAATTAATATTTTTATTAAATAAATTAAAAAAATATTATATTTATGAATCAAAATAATTAATTTAAATTTAATTAATTGTTTTTTATATTTAAATTATAATATCATAAATATTTAAATAATATAAAAAATATAACATTTTTTATTATAATTATTTTTATTTTTATTTTAATATGTTTTAAAACAGATTAGTGAATTAACGAATCAAAACAAGTTGACGTACAAAATTACTAACCCATTTAGACGGGACGACGGATTAATTCACCTGATATTCCTAATTTATATTGAATTAGATGTTTAAGTTATATAATCCAAATAATAATAAGTAAAAATAAAATGACTTTTTTTTAAAATTAATTTTCATACGCACAATATTCTTAAAAATAAAACTGAAAAAAAAAATCAAAATACATAAAACCAAATCATTCTAAACTCATCTTCATTTTTATAGGTTCATGTTCTTATTTATTTTTTATTTAAATCTAATCTAACTAATTCGATATAGAATGAATATTTTATTTCAAATCTTGAATTGTGTGATATCAACTCAAATTTGAGAAGGAAATTTCCAATCAGAAATAGAATCACGTAAGATAAAAAAAGAAAGATTACATAAAATGGTTAAAAAGAAATAGTAAAACAATTCAGTAATTTTATTTTATCAAATAAAAACAAATTATTAAAAGCATGCATGCTTCTTATATATCAAGTTAATATAATGTGAAAATTTAAATTTGAAAAAAGAAAAAAAAATAGAGAATATAATTGACTAAATTTAACATATTACAAGAATAAAAAATAAAAAGATAATTTACTAGAAATATAAAATGTCAAATAAAGATCATGCTATGATCAGTATAAATTGTTAATTTGATGCAGTCAAGCAAATTTGTTAGTCAAATAGTAGTTGGTTATAAGCTGTTTATTTTCTTAGCCTTAATTCTTAACGTTAATTACTTTAGGCACCGCTTTCATTATACCGTAATTATGTTTTGCTATTTCTTTTCTCCCACCAAAATTATATAATTTGTGTTATAAGTGATACCACATTAACGTTCCACTATAACTATAGCATAACAGTGATTAACACTCAACATTCACAACTAGATAAACTAAACAACCATAATTGAATTGTATACAAGTATGACTGTAGTTAATGCTAACCACTTACAAGATGAAGTCGAGTACAGTATATAACCACTTCTCGTGTAAAATTACTCATTTTTATAAATTGCAATAGTAATACCCTTAAAATTGAAACCACCATCACTAGCATTTTGGAATATGAACTTACCTCATTCAAGTCAAACTGTTCACAGAAAATTCATAGAATCTACCATGTTACGATCACAAACAACTAATTAGACCAAGCATAATGAACTTTTGGATACGAACTTATCTCATTCAAGTCAAACTGTTATAACAAACGACTACATTAGACCAAACAATAATGAATTAATTTCTTCATTTAGCTCAAGAATCAAAACTGTCGTACATCTAGTTTTTGAAGGGAAAAAGAATTATCTGAAAGCCACGCAAATTGCAGCTCCAGAAGCTCGGGCTTTCTCCTCAACACTGACGCGGGAAACATGTCTAAATTCCTCCCAACACCTACTAGTTCACTTCTCTAGGGTCTCTGATCTACAGTTTTACATTGTATGTCGCTTTAGAAAACTACACCGGCAAAGAAATTTTGATGGGGCACCGGGGGTTGCCTCCTGAAATTCATTAATAATAAACAAAACATCTGTTGTGTTAGGCAAATCAAGCCACGAAAATTGCCATTATTGTCTTGCTGCCAATCACAGAACCTCATGAGCCTTTCCATAATACCTGTTAATGAATGGCGACTGCAAATACAGATAATGATACTCTGTAAATTATAAGTACAAGGAGAATACATTTAATCAAGAAATTCAACAAAGTGCAACATAATAGGGAAATTTATTCAGGGAAGAAAATGGTTACAACCATAAACATGTTATCACTTTTATTTATTTGCCCTCCAATAAATTGTAAAAAGTACCAACCTCAATGTGAAAGAGGCTGATGAGAAAAGGGAAAAAAAAGGTGAAAGGAACTAAAGATTCTGTTGGAAATCTCGTATATGACTATATTGTAATATATAGATAAGGTGTAAACCTTACCTTTCGATTTATAGAGATAAGTTAGAATCATATCCACTATCTAATTTAATATCTAAATCCATCCTTACAATGTCAATGGGCCATTCTACCACCCCGCTATCAGACCATTGGCAAACCATTATAATCCTCCATGTGAGAGGGCGTTGAGAATTTCACTTCAATTAAAGATATAACTATATCCTGGTCAACTCCCTTACTTAATCCATCCAAGATGAAAAGGAGAATTTGAAAATTTTCATCAGTGCTTTCCAGTAGATACACACATGCATAGGCAGGAAGGAGCCACTCTCCCCTCCCTCAATGTATTAGAAGTACATAAAAGACATTTGATAAAAAGAAAAAAAATGTAATAGTAGACTTCTCCAATAGCAGCTGCGACTTTAAATCATGATTCAATGAAAACCACCTTAGTACCGACTGGTTTTTACCTTGGTTTAAAGATTAGGCAATTAACTTTTAACTTGGTTTGAAGCACATAGTCTTTTTAAAGGGGATAACAAATGTACGCAAGCACCCATAAAATGCCCGCCAGTCTCCCTCAATGCATATTTTGTTATGCTCTAGGTTGGAGTGTTCATGGATAGAGTTAGGTTGGGTTTTCATCAAATCTGATACCTAACCCAGATTAAAATAATAGTTGGATCTGTCATTTTCTTACCAAAATAAAACAAAACCAACCCCATCAATAGCAGATTGAGTTGTGTTAAGTCAATAAGTACCCAGAAAATAAAAAATATTTTACAATTAAAAAATTATTACCTTTCCTTTCCAATACATTTTGATATAACTAAGAATATTATTTTTCCTTTACAATGCATTTTAATACAACTTTTGAATAAATACATTTCAACAAATTAAATTGAAACTTAAAAAAAAAATTATGCAAAGATGAGGAGACGTGAAGCATCTTTATAGAGTGTTCAAAATTCAGATCATCAGATATAAGCTTATTTTCCATGATGTTTACGGTTAAAGATTGACACTAAGTAAGAACACATTCGTCCATAAAAACTGATTCTTGCAAATAAAAATTATTTTCTTTTACAAAAACTTAGAAATTAAAAATAAAATTGAGTTTATGCTGAATGCGTTTATCAAAGGAGTAAAATAAAGTTCTTAAATATGTCAAGAAGTCTGGAATCCGCAAATAGTAGTTTTAGAACCCATGGATAGGTTCAACATTAAGATGTTGTGAGAAAGTTTGAACAAATAAACTAGGATGAGAAAGGAAGAAAATGGGGTTTAATATATGTGATCTTTCTTAATTTTTATTTTTATAAAACATGTACAAATAACAAATTAACATTAAAAATATATTATGTAATGGATAGGATGGGTTGGGTTAGGTCCACTATAGCAATTACCCATTTTGCGAGACATTTGCAACATAAATAGAACAGAAATAGCAGAGTAGGTACTTTGAAATAAGATTAGGCCAATAGTAGAGCAGATACTCTGAAATAAGATTAGGCAATGTCCTTCTACTTTGGTGTAAAGCAGTATGGACTTTTTAAAGGGGCTTTCCTAACTGATAAGTTGAGGGATTGAGTGCCCTTAATTCATCAATGTTATTTTTTACAGTTTGCATCTTTTCATTAAATTAAAATGAAGATATATTATGCACCTGATCACCTAAAACCCTAATCTTGATGAATACATGCTTTAAACAAAAATGACAGAAAAAAATTATAATAGAATGCCTACAGACCCACCTTAACGTTTGATACATCTGGTGCATCAGGAGATTGAACAGGGTAGAACTTGTAAAATCTCATAGTCTCAAATGCAGATTTAGTTTCCTCGCTCATTTCTTCAATGGCTTTTTTCCGAGCCTCCCTTGCCTACAAGTGATAAAATATGTAAACAGAGAGCGAAAAGTGAAAAACAATATGCACAAAACCAACAGCACCAACATACCTCTCTATTAGCTTTCTTTGCTTCACGAACCTTTTCTTTGACAAATTCCTAAAAAAAAAAAAGTAAAAGTAGCAGCTTAACTAATACATTGAAAATCCAGAAAGTATGGATTAACTAAATGACTTCTATTATGTGGTACCTTGAATGCATCCTTCTGATCTTCTGATAACTCCTCCTCCTCTATGAGTTTATCTGTAAACTCCTGTAAAATATAAAAGAAAAAAAGTTTAAGAAGCCTTTTTCCATTGTACTTTGATTTTCCAGTTGCCCATTATTTTTCCCTCTGCATTAGGGGGGGAAACACAGTGGAGAAACAGTTAATCACATAGAATATAATGGCAAATAAAGACTTTCTCGTAGAATCACATGCAGAAATCTAGATTTCGCAATAGGAACTGTAAAATGGCAAACAGAACAAACTTTAGAAGTCCTTTGCATTTTTTTAAAAGAAAGGTTTTTTTTTTCACTTTTAACAACAAAAGTGACACCTTACTTTTACCTCATTTCCTGTTTCAAATATTTATATATGAAACAATGACTATTTCCTATTTTCAAAGATTTGTATGAGAAATAATGACTTGTTTCCACAATGTCCTACACATACTTTACAGGGGGGAAAAACAGTAGCATTTTTGTAACTAAAAGTAAAAAATATATGAAAACAAAATATTATCTCATAACAAATAGTCCTTAAATTTCCAACATAATAATATCATGCTTTGTGAAACTCAATTAATATAGGAGTGTCAGTGGTAAAGGGATAAATAACAATGAATTTGATTTTAAAATTGGTACTGCTAACTGGCTTACTGTGACATGCTCCAAACTACACATACCACAGTTAATTCCTTACCTCAAGTTCATCTAACTCCCAATCAAATTCACAGAAGACCTGAAAACAAGCAATACATAAGTAAACAAGTACAAAAATAGAAAATCAAATAGGGCAATAGCCTGTCTATCTTGTAACAAAAAATTTATTCAGGAAGCTAATTACATAACCATATCATACAAATAATATCCCAAACTATCCAAACTGTCGATTCACTAGGAAAGATTGTCTTCAATGTAATTACCGGCTTTGGCTCAGCTGGAAATATTATTGGAACTTCAGTGCTCTGTTCAAGTTCATCTTCCTTAAATGGCTGATAGAAATCTGCATAAAGAAAACCAGCCATTAAAAAACTATCTTAATAGGAACATCAACACTAACTGATGAAGAATCATTATGCCTTAAACAAAATGAAGCACCAATATTTGATCAAGAGAAAAATAGCATTGCCCATTGCCTACAAATCTCCATCATGATCACTTATTTAATAAAAATCACCTTCCTCCTACTAGATAGAAGTGACTGATATACTTAATTTACTCAAAAACAATTTTAATATTCTAAAGCCAGTAAACTTACAAGGCAAGCAGTATTCATATTTCTTTAATCTATCCAACTTCAGGTGTTTCAAAGCAGACCTGTACCACAGATTACAACATGGGTAAGATGACTCGTTCATATCCATATATGCTACATCATGGTCAACTGGAAAAGAGTACATGAGCAAAAATCATTACATGAAAATGCAAACCACAACAGTAGATCACTTCACCAACTTGCGAATAAGAGATAAACCGTCAAATACTCAGTTTTCACCAATCAAGTTTTTACAGATCCACAAACTCACTTATTTTGTTAGGTACAAATGTTCCAGATGTTACTCAGCAGAGATCAAGTAAAGGAGGCAGAGTAGGTATTAATGAATTTATAAAATCTAAGAAATGAATGCGACATATTTGTGAGGACTGTGGACTGAAACCCTAAAACCAAAGTAAACGAATTTTTTTTCCAAAAATTAGACAGTAAAGAATGCTTAAGAAAGTCACCAACAAGAGGGTAAAAACAGAAAAAACACACAGAAAGTTGAAAACTCTTCACACTACTTGAAAAAACTACAGATTGAATTTGATACATGCAGATGCAGGAGATGAATATGACGCAACCACCAGACAAATTAACAAGATTGACTTATAGCTTACATAATTGACCTTAAGAAGTGAAAAATGGTGACTAAAATTAACTAGTCAAAAGCACAATAAAAATATCGATTAAGCTGGAAAACCTATAACAGTCAAAATCTATACTTCTCCAACAACAACGCATTTAGAAGATCTGAGACAAGCTGTCAAATATAAAACGGTAAATGAGAGCAAAAAAATAGGCTATACCTTCTTTGGTTGCAGCTCAAGATAAATATTTGAGATTTTAGTCTATCAACTTGGCTATCTCTGATCAAGAGATAAAATCATATGAAGAAGTTTAGAAATGACCATAAAGCAATGTTTCATATACAAATTCCAAAGAAACCACCAAACAAACTAAGTGAGATTAATACCGGTCCTCCAAAGGAATATATGGAACCCAGTCCATTTTCATTTGCTTCATGGGAATTATCTCTTCAGCCTCCCTCTGAACTGAGTTTATCCCAATTTTATCAGATGGTGGAAAAGGTGATACAACCTGAAGAAGGACGTTGCGATAATTTCAAAATTAAAATCAAAATGCAAAAATCCAAATCATCAAAACTAATACAAGGTTGCTTCATCACGAAAAACTGGCAACAAAATGCATTCAATCAACCGCAATATCCAAATAACACCTAAAACATTAAGGATATTATTTCAATCTATGTCAACACCAAAGAACCATACCCCAGCAAGAAGGAACATATTATCGCATACCGGTAGTAAAATACTATAATGAAACAGACTATTTTTCTTGAAAATACTCAGAAGCAAGAATCAGATTGGGAAACAAGTGTGTTCATATGTAGAGAGTGCATTTTGACTACTTACAGCTACTACAACAGGTATGCAGACAACTTTGCTTTCCCCTTTAAACATGACCAGTTGAGCTGCAGCCAGAAAATCATCATAAGTTGATGACCAACCAAATAATAAAGGGAAAAGGCACACCAAGCACATCAGTCGCCTTTGAATCAACAAAAATAAATAAACTCCGCAAGCCACTTACGCTCAGTACAACCAAAGAGGTAAACTTTCTTGTCAAACAACAAACCACCCTCTTCAAACGCATTCTGAAAACACACCCCCAAATCACAACACCATCAGCAATCAATCAAACAATTCAGTTTAACTTCACTCAAAAACAGATCATTAACGAAAAACCTAATCAGCCCAATCCAACCATACTCACTTCTAGATTCGAAAAATCCCATTTGAATTGATACACGGAATCCAATTGGTCCCACTGCCATTACAACACGAAACAGTAACACATAAAAAACACGGCACGGTCATAAACGAAGAAAATTCTACAAATTAATTGAACAAAAAACTAACCTCAGTTCCAACGGGGAATGTTTCCTTCCACAAATCTTCCTACACAATCCAAATTAACAAACACCATTTTCCATCAGTAAAACCAACACAACAAAAAACAACTCACCAAAAAAAAAAAAAAAATAAATAAACAGTTAGCATAGCCACTTCCAAGTATAGCTGACTATGCTGAAACGAAAACACCAGAAAAACGAATGAACCGTTTTTTCCAAACAAACAAAACGGTTCGTTTCATTTCTTTCCTTAGAATGTTTAGTTAAAGAAAAGGTTCGAATCGAAACGAAACGAAACTCTTGAACCGGTGATGACGATGATGATAATGAAGTTGTTAACTAACCAAGTTGCGCTTATCTTCGAAGTACTCAGGTTCGGATTGAGGCTTAGAGGTCTTGGCTCGTTTAGCTCGAGGTTTTGGCTTGGTCTTGTCTGCTTCCGGTGCGTCTTGTTTGGCTTCTTGCTGCTGCTGCTGCTGCTTCGCCTTCCTCTTAGTTCCTTTCCTCATTGTGCAATGCGGAATCTATCCTTGACGCCAAACAGGGAAGAAAGATAAACGAAGGAAGAGAGAGAAAGAGAAAAATAGGGTTTGGGTTGGAGCGTTCGCGAATAAAAACTATACAAGGCGCTAGATCCAGATTCAAATGAAGAAACACGCACAAAAAATATAAATCATAATCGAATAAAATATGAGAGAGATTTTATAGGGACTGTGTGAGGCGTGAAAACAACGCACGCGGCTATACTCGAATCTTCATACACCTTTTAATTATCGCGTCTTTGGATTTCGTATTCAATTTTTTATTTTTTATTTTTATGTGCTTCTTTTAAATAATTCTCTGTAACAATCCATAACCGACACGTTTAAAAATGTTTACAGAGTTAGAATCAAATTGCAATGTACTATGTTTTATGCCTTTTTTTCAAAACTAATAATTCTTGTCACTTATGATGTCGTAATTCCCGATTTTCATTATTATTGTAAACTCCATATGTTTTTAACATTTTAAATTCTATTAAAAATATATAAATATATGTGTCCATGAATATTTGTTAAACTGTGATAAAATGTTGCATATGATCTATCGATCCATGGTTATTTACATTTATTACTAATATAATGATAGGCTGAGACATGTTAAGATATAATTAATATTTGTATTTACTCAATTTGCCCTAAAGTCTTATTATAGTTTAAGAGGCTACGAAATTAATATAATAATTTATATACCTTCTTAAACTTGAGTTAGAGCACTAAAGTAAAAAAAATGAATATAATAATTTTAATTATATTAAATAGATTTGAGAAAGTTATAATACAAAATTATTATTTCTTTTCTTAAATATAATTATTGTTGGAATAATATATCGATCTATAAATTTACGAGATAATTTAATCATATAAATTATCCGATTTAATTTAAATTATGTTTTTTTTTCTTTACTCGATCTATTTTATGAACTTTTTAAATCAAATATATATGGACAAAGTTATCATCAATTTTATTATCTTTCTTCGTGGAAATAATTAGTCTACGTTGAATTTCATTGGGTTTGAGTCTCGTTTATATTTAAAATACATTATTTAATTTTTATATGTTTATTTATTGCAAGTATTTTTTTAAAAATTTAACTTATCTTATAAACATGTTTAGAGGTTTACTTTGTAATAATTTAACATAAACAAAAAGTTAAGATAAGTAAGTTGGGTTTCATAAGAATCAAGTTTCACTCTAATAACACTTAGCAGTGTTTATTGAAGTTATTTAAATATTAAAAATAACCTTTTAGCAACCAAAATAATAATTGTAATTTTTAAAGAAATTAAGATAGAACCAAAAATTTAAATTATCTCATAGAAAATAAAACCAAAATCTACCCGTATTATATAAACTAAGATAAACAATTTTTAACTTTGCAAGATGAAATAATAATAGATTTTATAAGAATGAAACTTAAATAAGATAATTTCATAAATACTAAATGTATATTCAATATAATTTTAATATAATATAACAAATTTAATATGTTAATAACATAATAATAAATATTTTTTAATGTCTTTTTAAATTGGTTCATTTATTTTGTCCAAGAGTTTTTTTCTTTTTCTCATTTATCTAAATTAGGCCAATTTTTTAACTAAATCAGTAATAATAACAAAACGGATTAATTCGATCCAACCTACCTAAAAGAAATATAAGTTAATAATTTTAATATAAGTTAATAATTTTAATTCGATAATTCGTTTTATCTAAATCAACTTAGCCGCAAATTCAATATATCAAGAATGATTAAAATATATTTATATATTAAAATTTAAATAAATATTATTTATTATATTATATTTTTAAACTATATAAATATATGATAATATTATATTTTATATTATAAAAATTAATTAATTAAATTTATATTATTAATTATTTTAATATATAAATATAATATTTTTTAATATCTAATAAAAATATTAATTTATAAATACATATTTAAAAAAATGTTCATATAATTAAATATTAAAATATTTATATAAAAAAAATTATTAACCCGCTCACTCACTAATCCACCTTTGTCGAGACTACCCATCATATGGTTCAATATAGTCATAATGCAAATTATGTGATACATTTTACAATGTTCTGCCATTGATAAATTCCTCCATGGTTTCATCTTCAATATTATTTATTTATTCTTTTATTAATTTTTTTTTAAAACATAACCCTTAAACTCTTATATATTTTGATTATATTTATAAATAGTCTGTATTCCTTTTTTTTATAGTTATCTTATTTTTATATTTGTTGATTATTATGATTTGATTAATCATAAATTAATAGTATTGAAAAATAAGAATAGCTAAAATAATAGGAATGAAATAAATGTACTAATAATTTTTTAATAAAAGATTTCTTCTTAAAATTATTTATTATTTTGCTCTCATTGCCAAATTTCGTATGATGGAAGGATCTTACCCACTTGGGGTAACGAGAAGCCAAAAAAGGTGAAAAGGAAAAGTGTTGAAAATGACAAGAAGCTTTCTCCTTTGTCATAAATTAATGAGAGCAGAACAGAAGATTTTTCAAAATAACAATAATCAAGTTTCTTTAGTTTTGGTATGTTTTTGGGTTGAAGAAGGATCAGATCTAGAATCATGGCCAAGACATTTGAGGAATGCTTTTCTGGCCAAGTTGAAATAATAACAAGGGTGGAGAAAATACAGTGATGAAGATGAAGCTTCTCCTTCTTCAATTCCTTCTCTCACTATTCCTCTGCTTCCATTGCTTACTATCTCACCTTTAATACTTGGATTCTCCTGCCAAAAACATTACTATGCCATGTCAATCCACATTTAGTAACAAAAAATCCAGATAATTTATTACTTGTCCTTTAGAAAAGGAGTTTAAACTACCAACAATGAATAGTAAGAAAGGTCAAATTTAGGACTTGGCACTGTTTTTCCATAACATAAAACCAACCAGGTTTGACTGTGCAATCTTCAATAATTAGATGTACACATTGGGTGCTATCAAATTTAGTGTATTATTTTTTAATCTTGAATATTTATAATTAAATAAGTTTTTTGTTCTATTATTTCTTAACTATTTTAATATTTAGTATTTTAAAAAAATCAATATTACTCATTTAGTCAAATCAAAGTCATTAAGTTATAGGGTTGACATGATCATATTGTCCTATGCAACATCTATGCCAATGCCAGTATTAAAATTAATGCAGATTCACACTAAATTAATAGTGTGAAGAAATTGCATAAAAAAAGGAAATTATCTAACCAATATTTATTCTAACATAAACCATTAATGGTACAAGAATGGTACAATTGTATAAGTGTTTCTTTAACTTTTTTATTTTAAACAAAATTATAATTTCATTTCAATAATTTGCATTTGTATTTTTATGTGGACAATTAAATTAAAATTTCAATTTTGATAAGAGAACAACATTAAAAACTTAAAAGTACATATAATTTTTGTCTAAAATCATTGCATATAGAAGAAAGATAATCAAATACAGCGTACATTAAATTCATATGAAAATGGAATGGACCGAAGACAGGGCTGAAAGTTCTCTCATAGTTTCTGGTTATCATAATTCAAAATATGAAAGCATTTTAATCAATTAGTTTCTTGATTTCTTCTCCTACCCAGCAACATGAACTACGAGCCTATAACTTTCTTATCAATGAAAGTTCAAATCAGATTTTCAAACAAGTCACTGATCCAAATTCACAGACTAAAGATAATCAAAATCCAGTTGAAACAGTAATGGGAGGAGTATTGAAACAATAACCCACTAATACTAATACTCCCAAAAGATCTACAACCTATATTTCTCAAAAGAAAAGACCAATAATAGAAGACTAATATGAAATTTAACAAACCGACAAACAATTACCAGGAGACATTAAACACCCTAAGAAAATAAAAACCAATCAATGCAAACAAAGCCGAAATCTGAAACTTGTTTCTTCTATCTAAAGTTTCACCCCTAGCTTTTTTCAAAAGGCAAAAACATATACAAAAAAGAAGAAGTGGTTAGAGGAAGCAAGATGACATCTTTATGCGCTGGGAAGCATAGGAATCCAAAAGGGTAAAAGAAAAAGCAAAGAAAGGAAGATGGGGCGTACCAGGGTGGTCTGAAGACGGTTGGTGACAGCAGTGGAGTGGTGGATGGAGGGTTGATGTTGAGTGGTGGAGGCAGTAGGAGCAGTAGATTGGTGGGGTTGATCTAAATCAATGATGGAGAAACAAAAGAGAAGGGCAAGGAGAAGAAGCAAGACCAAAAGTTGAATCCATATCAGCCATGGAATCCTCAAACTTTCTAAACTCAGCTCCTCTCCAAAATCCAACATGTTTGATTAAATATAAGGAAAATGGATACGAGATGGAGAGAGAGTGAGAAAAAAGAGTGGGTTTAGAATCAGCAAAAACGTGAATTGTGAATTGTGAGGATGAACACGAATGGTACATATTAGCAGAGGTAGGGATTAGGATCATCTACAGCGACGCTTTTACTACTGCAAAAGTAATAGCCGTAGGATTGATTCAACGGTTATGATTTTACAATCCAGAATGATGCACTCGCCGAAAGATTTTTATCTATATACCCAAGACAATTGAACTATAAATCTTTTAGTATTAAACGTTATGTCTTATCATCAAATAATAATAGAAAAATAAAAATATTAATTGATGTAAACGAAGAATATCGAAATTTTGTGTAAATTTAAACTCAGTTTCTTTGAATTTCAAATATAATCATTTTATATTATATATAGCACACTATTTTCATTCGTTTGTTTAGTCTTTTTAATCTTTTATTTTTTAAATTTATAATATTTGCTTTGTTAATTTTCTTCTCTACAGGAAAAGTTTGGTAGAAGAAAGTTTTTCTATACCGGAAAATCTTGAGTTTTATATATACAAAAAACTAGAAATAACTAAATTTTGCTTTGGTTGATGAAAATCATTTTTAAGCGTATTTATACAAATAATCATCATTAGCAAATTTTGTAAATGATCATTTTGTTACCACATTAATATAAATTGTAACAACCCGTAAATTTTACTTAAAATTTTTACTAAATGAAGGAAGAAAATAATTTTTTCACTTAAGAGAGAGATAATAGTTCAGTTTACATATCCAGAATAGTTGAAAAGAAAAAAAGAAAAGAAAACATCACACATCAAAAGTCCTAATTACACAAATGTTTTACACCTAATTACACAGCACAAAATAACTCTTTCAAATTTAGGAGGTCTCTACTCCATTTCCCAAATCACTGGGTCTTACTACCACCTGTAGAAGATTTGGAATCTGCTCACGTGTATAACACGATCATAGCAGGATCCCAAAAGATCAAGCACACAACAAAAGCAAGGGTAAGCTATCATTTGATTAAATATGTAGAACATTGTAACATTGCAAACAACACTTATTAATTCACAAACATCCTAAAACTAGACTCACTGGAGAGTCTAGCATTTTACAATCACAACACACAACAAGGCCGACGCTTTCAGGAAAACTATATGGAATTCGGACCGAGTAAGGTAGACACCGATGAGGAATATTTGGGGTCCCGGACCCTTAAAATTTCTTGGCCCCAGGCCTATAATATCATTTCTTTTTTTTTCCAACCTCTCATCAGAGCAACACATGCATAGGATTGACACTATGCTATGTCTTCATCGACTTCCCACCACAGATGTCTTCGTCTATATGACTAGGAACATCTTGGAAGTCTGGATACCCTATTACGCCTATCCATAATTCCATACACATTATTCTATACGAGTACATCAAATCTATCATTCAACAACTATTTCATACACACTTATTTTACTCATGGTTTCTAGAATCAAACCAACATCATATAGTTCAAAATGTCCAGTCCAACATTTAAAATTCTCAACTACTATGCAATCATAATTCACTTAAAACGGTACATCATTTCTCCTTCAAACCACACAAACCAACCATACAATTTGGAAGTGCAATGATACAAAGATATCTATTTCACAACAATTTACACTGCAAGGTTTCCACAGTACTCACAATATCATATCACATCTAGCACGTATATGTGTCACAAGCATATTCTCATATCACATATAGCACGTATATATATATATATATATATATCACAAACATACTCTCATATCACGTATAGCACGTATATATATATATATATATCTCACAAACATACTCAAGATATCTATTTCACAACGATTTACACTGCAAGGTTTCCACAGTACTCACAATATCATATCACATCTAGCACGTATATGTGTCACAAGCATATTCTCATATCACATATAGCACGTATATATATATATATATATATATATATATATATATATATATATATATATATATCACAATCATACTCTCTCATATCACGTATAGCACGTATATATATATATCTCACAAACATACTCAAGATTTCTATTTCACAACGATTTACACTGCAAGGTTTCCACGAGTACTCACAATATCATATCACATATAGCACGTATATATGTCACAAGCATATTCTCATATCACATATAGCACGTATATATATATATATATATATATATATATATATATATATATCACAATCATACTCTCATATCACATATAGCACGTATATATATATATATATATATATATATATATATATATATATATATATATCTCACAAACATACTCATCATTCACTTTATCAAACTTTTCATCAATACAAACCAGTAAAAATTAAAGAAGCTTCCCTTACACGAGGGTGATGTTACACGTCAACCTAATTCCAATAAAACCTTAGGAATGCCAAAACACCTAATTTGTACCGTTCTCCCCCAATTTGAAAAACCCTAAAACGAAATTGAAGTAATAAACAAAATTAAACCCGAAAACATGAAATTGGGGAGTGATAGAGTAAGAGGAAACCTTTAATTCCACAATTAATTCCTTAAATTCTCAAAACCCCAAATTTTAACTAGCAAAAACCCTAAAATTCAAACTTACAGAAACGAAATTCTAATCGGTGGGTCTTACGCTATTCTCCGTCGTGAGCACAACGGCGGTCTCGGATTCTTGATTGGGGAAGAAGGAAGTCTTGATCTGTAGGAGAGAAGGTAGAGGCTGAGTTAGGGAGATGGGGGATACGTTTGTACGAAGAAGAAGAAGAAAACCGGGTTTTCTCTCTCTTCTTCTTTTTATTTTTCTTTTAATTACGGCATATTACAATACTTCCCAACAATTTAAATTTTCGTCCTCGAAAATCATACTTACCAGTAAACGAGTTGCGGATAGTTCTTCCGCATCTTTTCCTCTAGTTCCCATGTGTAGTCACTCGGCTTGGTATTCCAGACTACCTTGACCACTCTGATGGTTTTACCTTTATACTGTCTGAGTTGTGAGTCCTCTACTCTCACTGGAGTGGCTTCAAAAGACAGATCTTCTCTCACTTGGATTTCATCAGCTTCCAAAATGTGGCTCGGGTCAGACACGTATTTCCTCAATTGAGATACGTGGAATACAGGGTGCAACCTTGCTAAGGGAGGGGGGAGGGCAATCTCATAAGCTACTGGTCCAATACGCCTGGTAATCTGGTAGGGTCCAATAAATTTCGGGGTTAGCTTCTTGGGTTTTATGACTCTCCCAACTCCAGTCATAGGTACGACTCTGAGAAAAACATGATCACCAGTTGAGAACTCCAAGGGTCTCCTCCTCCTATCCGCATAAGACTTTTGGCGGCTCTGTGCAATCCTCATTCACGCTCTGTATTAACCTCACTTTGTCTGTAGTCTGTTGTACTAACTCTGGCCCAACCAGGAATTTCTCACCATCCTGATACCAACACAAGGGGGTCCTACACTTCCTCCCGTATAAAACCTCAAAAGGTGTCATTCCAATACTGGTATGGAAACTGTTATTGTATGTGAATTCTGCTAAGGGAAGTACTTCGTCCCAAGCCCCCATATGATCCAACACACAAGCCCTCAACATATCTTCTAGGGTTTGGATGGTTCTCTCAGACTGTCCGTCTGTCTAGGGATGGTAGGCGGTACTAAGCCTCGGTCCGGTTCCTAATGCTTGCTTGTAAAGTCTCGCGAGAATCGTGAGGTGAACCTTGTGTCTCTGCTCGACACAATGCTGGAGGGTACCCCGTGTAACCTCACTACTTCCTTGATGTACAACTCGAGCCAATTTGTCCATAGACATTCTTAGATTGGCCGGCAGGAAGTGGGCACACTTAGTCAATCTGTCTACAATGACCCGGATGGAGTCATGTCCTCTAACCGTCCTGGGCAGGTGGGTAATAAAATCCATAGATATGCTGTCCCACTTCCACTCAGGTAACTCTAGTGGTTGTAGCATTCCACCTGGCCTCTGATGTTCTACCTTGGCCTTCTGACATGTTAAGCAGCTAGTAACATACTGAGTTATATCTTGCTTCATCCCAGGCCACTAGAAGGTCTCCTTCAAATTTTGGTACATCTTAGTCACTCCAGGGTGTATACTCAACTTGCTTTTGTGCCCTTCCTCTAGAATTGTTCCTCTCGACTCATCACCTGTAGGAACACAAACTACTGCCCTTGAACCTAAGCACACTATCGGTTCCCAAAACAAACTCCTTCACTTTTTACGTACCTAAAGAGTTTCTAATCCGTATAAGGCTAGGATCCTTCATCCGGCCTTCTTTAATGATTTCTAAGAAGTCATTGGTGATAGTCATCACCCCACAGTCGATACTAGCTGGTGAAATTTCAAAGCTTAGATTTAGATCTCCGAAGCTCTCTATCAATTCCAATTCCTTAATCATCGGTCGAGACATTCCAATCGCCTTTCTACGAGAGCATCCGCCACTATATTGGCCTTTCCTGGATGATACATCAAGCTGGAAGTCATAGTCTTTGATGAATTCCATCCATCTCCTCTCGCCTCATGTTCAGCTTCTTCGATCAAACAAATATTTCAAGCTCTTATGGTCACTTGAATACCTCAAATCTAGCTCCATACAAGTAATGCCTCCAAATTTTTAGAGCAAACACCACTGCTTGCTAGCTCTAAGTCGTGTGTGGGGTAATTCTTCTCATGACTCTTCGGTTGTCTAGAAGCATAAGCCACTACCTTTTTATCCTGCATCAGAACACACCCTAACCCCTGATTGGATGCATCACGAGAAAACCTCAAATGGTTTGCTTGAATCGGGAATAATTAGTATGGGCGAGCTGAGTCAACCTTTGTTTGAGTTCTAGAAAACTCTTCTCACATCGATCTGTCCAAACAAAGGGGTGGTCCTTCCTTGTTAACCGGGTTA